TCCATGGGTGAGTGGTGCTTTCGTGTTCCATTACCTAGAGCCTGACACACAGTAGGTGCTCTGTGAGTATCTGTTGATTGAGTATGGATTTGCCAAATTTGCATTGGCCAATAAGCAGCTCTTAGAACCATTCTGTGACTTGAGAGGTTTGTGTATCTGAACTTGTCCACTGTGTTTTATTTTGTTTTGTTTTTGCAGGTCAGTCTCTTTGCATTCTAGGATACCTTATGGTAGCTGCCTGTGGCCTATTTCTACATACATATATTTTCATTTGCTTTTTCCTTCTCTCCTTGCCTTTTAAATTGCAGAGTGTTTTCTGCCTATATTAAAGAAGTGGATGAAAAGCCAGCCAGTACGCCCTGGGGCAGCAAGATGCCTTTTGGTCAGCTGATGTCAGAGTTTGGGGGCAGTGGCACAGGCGGCTGGGTCCATGGGGTCAGCTTCTCCGCCAGTGGGAGCCGCCTGGCCTGGGTCAGTCACGACAGCACTGTATCTGTTGCTGATGCCTCGAAAAGCGTGCAGTGAGTATTTTGCCTTTTGTTTGAAAGGTGGGGAGCAGCGGGTAGGATTTCCCACCAGCTGGGGTAAGGCTGCCCTTCCCGGGGTGTAAGTACAGGACATGAGCATAGAAACCCCAGCCAGAACTGCAAGGCAGCCCTTACAGTTACAGACAGATTTAAATGGTCTGTTTGGGAAATTTTAAAGAATTAGGTCTTACTTCTGGAAATACATCTTAATGGAAGTACTGATAGTGATTCCTTTGAAGAACCGTCCTGGTTTCCTACTGACAAGGGTCCCTTCAAAATGGCCAATCTGGTCTGTTAACTCTGAATTCCTTGCAACATATAAATGTCATCCACTGGCCTTAAATTAAATAGGAGATATGTTCTTAGTCTGGATAGTCAATGAACAATGACTCCATTAATTTGGGACTTCCATTTAGTAACACTTAAAAACCCTTGATGCGACGTCTGTTGTGTGCTGGAAGAACTCAAATTGCGGTGACTCCTTTGTGAGCGGGGCGCCTGCTCAACTTTAAAGCACCTTGTCAGACATCAGAATTCATTCTGCTCATTATATGGTAGAGGAAGAGAGAAGATTAGAATCCTTTTCCTCTTATAAATCTTTGTTCTTTCTTGGTGAATCCTTTTCCGTTAGCAGCTAAAGGTAACTCATTCTTAAACTCACATTGGGTGACACTTACTGCCTATCAGGTCAGGGAGTAAGGTACAGCAGAAGGAGTAAGGGTCACCAAATGTGAACAACATGACATTTCAGAGATGATTTTTTTTTCCCCTATTTGGATTTAATGTGGGGGTTTTTGTGGTTAATTTTATTTTTTAAAAAAAATCCTCCCTCCATTATAAATGTAGTCTTTCAGAAGATTTCTGTACATATATAGGCACTTAAATATCTTTTCATTTTTAAGATAAATCGGATTATGTTACACTTTTTTTTTTTCTTTTGAGACAGAGTCTTACTTTGTTGCCTGGCCTAGAGTGTGGTGGCATCATCATAGCTCACAGCAACCTCAAATTCTTGGGCTCAAGCAGTCCTCCTGCCTCAGTTTCCCGAGTAGGTGGGACTACAGGCATGGACCATCATGCCTGGCTAATTTTTTCTATTTTTGCTAGAGACGGGGTCTTGCTCTTGCTCAGGCTGATCTCGAACTCTTGGCCTCAAGCAGTCCTTCTGCCTCAGCCTCCCAGAGTGCTAGGATTACAGGCATGAGTCACCACACTGGCCATGTTATACATTTTGAACAATAATTTGCTTTTTGACATTCAATAATATTTTAATGCTAGTGTTATTTGATTTTTATATGATTTATTGTAACACATAGTAAGTTTTTAGAACATGCTTATTACAAGTCCCTGTCTACCCTCTTACTGACTTCTTATTTGCCTTTTCTAGCCCTACAAGTTAGCTTATATCCTTCACTACACCCCTCCCCTTCTCTAACGTAAATATTTCG